CTAAAATTCAGGTGTTGAAACTTAATGGCCAATGTAATAGTGTTAACAGGTGGGGCCTATCAGAGGTAATTAGGTCATAAAAAGTCCTTATAAATGAGGCTTCACAAATGAATGTGATTAAAGCCCTTATAAAAGAGGCTTCGTGGAGCATTTGGCTCTCTTGCCCTTCCACCTTTAGTTGTGGGGGTGGGCGCCGTTCCTTCCCTCCAGGCAATGCAGTATGAATGCACCATCCTGGAAACAGCGGCTCTCACCTTACACCGAAGCCGCTGGGGCCTCGATCATGGACATCTCAGTCTCCAGAAGGTAAGAAATAATTTTTTGTTCTTTATAAATTATCAAGTCTGTGGTATTCTTTTATAGGATCACAAAATGGACTGAAACCGAGACACAGGCTATGTGTACCAAGAGAGGTAGATAATGGTGCTGGCCCTTCCAGCTGCTCTGATGAGAATGTGTGGGAACCTTATTATGAAGTTACGTGTCTGAAAGAATGAATCTTGTGTTGGACTGGGAAGAAGGGCCATAGTAGAAAAGTGTCTGTGTGTGTGTGTGTAATAAGAGAAAAGACTTAATCATGATAGAGAAATCTGAGGAATGCTACTATGTGACTCACCTAAATTGTAACTCTCAATCCAGTCCTACAGTTAGGGAGAATCGTGTTTCTCCTACAAATATCCAAAGGACACAGAAGTGCCCAGAGATGGCCAGCTACCTGGTGGACATAGGAACTACAGAATATTCACAGTGATGAAATTGTGGAGGGAGGGGCATTATTTGTGAGTCTGTATCATGCACATGGTTCTATGTTAAGCACTTTACCCACATTTCCTCATTTAAGCCTCACAACACCTATAAATAAGCATGATTGTTCTCTGCTTTAAAGTTCAGAAGACTGAGGCCCCAAGAAATAACAGAGACCATTAGAACTGGAAGTTGAACTGGGATCTGTTTATCTGAAAGAAATCCTGATCTTTTCACCTTTCATACTTCCCCCATTTACGAATCTTACACCCTTAATAATTAACAAGGACACCTGCTGATTTCCTACAGGTGTGGCTCAGGATGAAATTCAGAGGTTTCCAATGTAGTCGAGAAATAAATATGTGCAACATGGCAAGTGACAGATTGAAGTAGACTGGTCAGGGTTTTATATATATATATGTGTGTGTGTGTATATATGTGTTTGTATATATATAATTTATTATATATTATTATTTATATATTATATGTATAATTTATTGTCTAAGGTGAAAGGGGGCACTAAAATTAATTGACTAGCATTAACAGTTCCAAAATAGTAGTAATCAGGAACTGTCCTGAGCAAATCAGAACATATAGTTACCCTAATGAAACCTTGCTGTAATCTTAAACTTCCTGATTCAAGATTACTAAGGCCTTCACCTACTCACAAGGCCCTTCTCCTATTTATTGTCTTTCAAAAAATACCCAGTACCTCTCAATCTATGAGGGCACGGACCCCACGCTGGATTGGGAACCTCCCAGGTTTTCGTATCCAATAGCTTTTAGTGTAAATTGGGCAGATATGTTCTTAATTTGTGTAGTGATAAGCCCAGGTCAATAATCATCTGGTGATCAGAAACTGAGTTGAGGAAAGGTTTGGGTTGGCTGGAAGCCTTGCTGTATGAATCAGGTTCTTAGTTGAAAGCAACAGAGAACAACCCTGACTTGCTTATACAGAAAAGATAGATAGTACTGGTGGTTTACAGAAATGCTAAGAAGGCTGAATTACTAAGCAAGGGAAGCAAACAGGAACAAGACAGACTGAAAAACAGGCAAATGACAGCCAAAATGACATCACAGAACTAACCCAGTGAGGACCTGGCTGCTGTCATTGGCACTGTGTGTTGTATACTACAGCCAGCACTGCTGCCATGTAGACCCAGAATGACTTGTCCACTGATTCTACTTTTTTTGTAATGCCAACTCCCCATTCAGAGTCCAAGTGGGTGGATCTGATTGGTCAATCCTAGGCTATCCCTGCTAGTCTAGTCTTTTTGGGCCCACAGTGGAAAGGAGGGTTCTGCCTCCAAGAACCGTAATTTTGCCCCCAGATATTCATTTTCCCTCCCAGGGGAGAGGATTATGCTTCCCTGCCCTTTTGACATCAGGCTTGATGGTGTTGCTTGTTTTGGCCAGTAGCATATTAGCGGAAAATCTGCAGATGGTATGCTAGTGGAAGCACTAAGAGCCAATGTGTGCTCTGCCATCTACTTCTGCCTCAAGAACAGCAATGTTCTAGATAGGACTATTGCATCAACCTGAATCCCCAAAGTGGAAGATGACATGGAACAGAGCCACAATGAGCCCATGAGGGGCATGCAACATTAGCAAGAATGAAACCTTTGCAAGCCACTAAGATTTGCAGGGATTATTTGTTACCAGGGTATAATGTAATCTGACTGATACATGCTCTCACCAAAACACATATGATGGAGCATTCCCAAACACAGAGAGAGAGTTCAGATTCTTGGCCAAAAAGTAAAAAAAAAAAAAAAAAGCAATTAAAAAATTAATTTTCATATAGAAAATTCATCTAAATATAGAATGTTAAAAGAGTCACCTTCCTTAATGTCTCAGTTTCCCTGTGGCTCTCCCAGGGGCTGCCCTACGGTCCTCACAGCACTGCAAGGGTACAAAGTTTGCACGGGTAGAAGAACCCTTGAGGCAAAATCAGCAAATTCTTTACAATCTCTGTTGTGTGTATGTTAGAGAGATTATTTATATTGATCTTTAAAAAATCACTGAATGTTAAAGTTGATCAGGGAAGGCTTCCGCTGGGAAAGAATGGTTTGTGAAAAACACTCAAGGCAAGTTGAGACAATAAAACGGTAAAATGTGTGTGTGTGTGAGCGTGTGCGCAAATAGCAAGTAAGTTTTTAGGTGGTTTTATTTCTAAAAAATGAGTTACATATTTTATTTTAAATGTAATGAATATAAGGAATATACTATTTCTTAAACAATAAAAACATAGTTGTGGCTGTTTTCTATAAAATTATTTTTCTTCTCCTAAGGAAATTAAGTTCAGCACAATTTCCTGGCTTTCTTGAAAGTTTTAAGGTTCCACAATTTCACATCTGCTCATGATGTTCAGTTTTTAAGACTTGGTTCACAGACTAAAAAGAATCCTTACATTAAGAAGCAGGTCAACCAATGAATTCCAAAGAGAATTTACCTTAGAGGCTTTTCAGAAAAGGCAGGACAGAACTTGGCAGTGGTACCAGGTGTTGGCTAACCCAAGGCAAGGAGATAATTTGGAGATCGAGCTTCTTGTTACTTTAGTCCAAGAGAAGCAATTCCTATTTTAAAACGTAATCTAAAATGGTCTTTAAAAATCCATTTTTTTCTTATTACGATGGGGTATACCTATGAAATTCCACACATTTCCTTTCTGCCACTCTTAAATCAGTCCATCAATTGACTCTTTTCAATGGGTGATGTCATTTGTCCACTGCCTGGTCAATCTATACATATCTTTTGAGTACCTACAATGTGACCTGGGGTGTGTGTACCACGCTGGCATCACAGAATAATGTAGTTATCTGTTGAAGAGGTGAAAAAACGTTACCTTAATCACCGGCATCGGAGCTCCTCTTAAGGATAGGAAAGTCTTTGTTTAGTAAATAATTTCCCAAGCCTTTTTTTGTGTGTGTGGGAAGAAGAGTAAAGGGCATCATCTATACAGAACACATGAAAAAGAGGGGATGGAGAAGCCGCTTTGCATGGAAAGATAAAGAGGGAAAGGTGGGAAGGGGAGAGTATTGAGCAACTGACTGGGAGACACAAGGCGATGAGAAATTCTCAGCAACAATGATAGGCAAGGAGGCACACTACCAACAGCACTAAATCTTCAGGTATTGTTAAAAAGAATTTACTTTAAATCTGCCTTACCAAGAGTCCCTGTGTGAACAGTGCTACAAGGAAAGGGACTGCGCAGTTGAGGTGGTGAAATGATCCCTAAGAAGCATCAACACAGTGGAAGCAGGGGCTTGAGTTAGAGGTCCCTGGGTAAATAAAAACTTCCCAAAGATACCCCAGAGTGACTGGGAGGTAGTTTGTGCAACCTCTGACACATGATAGGGGTCACACCATTTTCACTGCAATCTCAACGGGCACAATGACTCAGCTACCAATTCCAGCTGCCATTTTGGTTGCAGTTGTGAGAAGTGGTCCCATCCTCAAGAACATGATATGTTCATATGTTATTGTGAATAGTGCTGCAGTGAACATATGTGTGTATGTATCTTTATAATAGAATGATTTATATTCCTTTGGGTATATACCCACTAATGGGATTTCTGGGTCAAATGGTATTTCTGCCTCTAGATCTTTGAGGAATCGCCATACTGTCGTCCACAATGGTTGAAATAATTTACACTCCCACCAATCGTGTAAAAGTGTTCCTTTTTCTCCGCAACCTTTCCAGCATCTGTTTTTTGACTCATATAGCTGTTCTGACTGGCGAGAGATGGCTTCTCATTGTGGTTTTGATTTGCATTTTTCTAATGATCAGTGATGATAAGCATTTTTTCATATCTTTTTTGGCTGCATATATGTCTTATTTTGAGATATGTCTGTTCATGTCCTTTGTCCCATTTTTAAAGGGGTTGATTTTGTTGTAAATTGGAGCAACCTGTATTTTCATCATGGGGAGGGGTGGTGATTAAATGAACCATGCTTCATCCATACTATAGAACAAGTTATGCATCATTTCGAAATAATGTTGGTAGATTTGAATATACTGATATGGAAGGATCTCTAAGACCTGTAGCTAAGTTTAAAAAGCAAGACAAAGATCAATATCTCATTTTTTTATGGAAAACTTCCCACAAAATATCATTTACATATTTGAATGTGTATGTACATTTTCCTTGAGTAGGGATGGGATTAGATAGGGAACTGGAGACAAAACCTATTTTGTTTGAAAAATTTTAACCATGAGAATGTATTCATGTTTAGTTGGGTGTGGTGGCACATACCTGTAGTCCCAGCTACTTGGGAGGCTGAGGCAGGAGGATTGCTTGAGCCTGGGAGTCTGAGACTGCAGTGTGATCACGTCACAGAGCTCCAGCCTGGGTGACAGAGTGAGACCCTGTCTCTAAATAAATAAATAAATATTAAAAAGAATGTATTTATGTGGTACTTGTATAATCATGATACATAAAGTTTAAAATACATAAAAATGTAAAAAGAACAGTGCAAGGTCAGATTCTGGAGACCATTAGAATACACACATGCACGCGCACGCACACAACATGTGTACACACGTGCACACACACATGACAATGCTGGCAATGTAAATCTCAATAAAAGAACCCACTATTTAAAAGGAGCTCGGCAGCCCTGTCCTTTCTCGCATCAGAAAAGCCCAGGCTACGGAGAAGCAAGGTTCCTATGCATGCACGCAACATGTGACCTTAACCTCCCAGGAAATCTGACACTTAGGGCGTTGCCTCAGGCACAACATCTGTCACGACTAAACCCACTTTCAGGTGTGTGGTGGGGACCTAGTCACCTATTTTCACTCTTTCTTTTGAGACAGCAGAGTTTTGAAACAGCCTTTGATGGAATCCACAACTGGCCGTGTTGGTGTGAAATTCTCCGTAGGAAATCTCACTGACAAGGAAGCCAATACTTAGTCCTTGTGTTGGGCGTGAGGACAGCAGGCACGAGCTGTGTCAGCGTTGCTTGCTGGCGATGTTCTCCAGTGCCAGAAGTCAGACGTGCATGGAGTTCTGCGTTTGCAGGTCCTGTTCAGGGCTGCTGGGCCTGTCCTCTTGTCTTCTATTAATCCTTTCTCTCTCACATCTTCCATCTCTCTCGTTCCCCTGCTCCCTGCCCTGTGTGTCTGTAGAAAACACCAAATCTTCAAGAAAACTTCCTCTGTAAGCGACCACTGCCTGGCCTTCCTCTTCTCTCTTGCAGATCTTCTAGAAGGCCCAGTGCCTCCCTCTCGTCTCCTGCTTCTTCCTCAGCAGTTTCAAGCATTTACCTTCAACCCTCACAGCCTCAGTTCTTCACCTATTACTGTGTCTCTCTCACAGAAGTCACCAGTGTCCTCGCTGTCACCTACTCACATGCTCTCTTCTCCATACCCCGTGACAGCTGCAGTTTCTGGCCGTGGACAGCACCATTCTCGAAACTCTCCTCTCTCCACTCCTTTGAGATTTCTCTTTCTTGGTCTCCATCCGAAGTCCTTATTTCTCGGTGGTCTTCTGGGGTATTGCCTTGGCCCTCTGCTCCCTGCCCTTTGTCCCTTGGGGATTTGTATCCAACGCCACATTTTCAGCCCTTACTTTTATGAAACTGGTTCCCACATCTACATCTGGCCATCAGCCTCTCCTTGTGCCCTGCCCCTCTTTCCCTCTGCCGGCAGGATATCCCCTGCACACAAGCATCCTTCTAGCATTTTCATTTTGGCAGCTGTAAATCTAGGCCAGTCATCTTCCTGCCAGTCCTGCTTGTCTGCCTCCTGGATTTCTGAGTTCAGTGAACTCTCCAGTGCTAAAGCCATCTTCTCTGCCCACCAGATCCCATTAATAACAATGCTCACCTGTATCCCTTCATTTGACAAACCTCTCCTCCTTCCCTGGACCCATTACTACAGCCTCTTAACTGCTCTCCCAGACCCCCAGCCACCAGTGTGAACCTCCTAAGGCCCCAGCTTCCTGTCTTCAAACCTTCGTCTCCTCAAAGATAAAGTTTACTGCCTTGGGACAGCACGCGACTTGTCAATTTACTCCAACCTACCTGTAAAGCCTTATCTGCTGCTAGCCCTTCATTTGTTCCACGAGTCTTCTCACCAATCCCTATGGATCTAAGAAAATAAAGGCTCCCTGACTCTCTAGGTAACTGGGAGGTTCTCTAGCACCTCTAGAGTCTAGAGATGAGAGAATCTCTGGAGACTAGGCTTCGCCTGCCTCCACATGTGACCTTCCAGGAAATAGTGACTTGTGTCCTTGGAATCAGGCCCTCTGCCACATTGCTGCTTTTGCCAGCAAGGCTCCCTCAGCATTGCCTCCTCTCACCCAAATCCTCTTCTTTCAAAGGCACCCCTTAACCTCGGAACCCTTCAACTTAGTTACACTGAGGAGAAGACTTGGGCTCAGAGAAGTTAGGTAATTCCCTCCAAGTCAGTTAGGTATTAATGGGAGGTGTGGGGATTTGAACTGTGATCTCTCTAATGTCTAAATGGGTCTTTCTCCAGTTTTCCAGGCTGGCTGCCTGATTGTGCTTTTCCCAGTTGGCTTTAAAGGGCTAGCAGTATTAGCAACATTTTTGGTAATATTCTGGAGAACAACCTTGTCTTAGTTGCTATCTTTTCTAATCTTCCATCCTACTTAGGGCTAGGAGCTCAGGGGTCCTCAATAAATGCTTGGTGAATGGCACTGAATGTTCTTGTCTTCTCCAGTTTCTTCCAAGCAGGTGCTGTATTTCTCCTTATTTCCTAAAGGATTGATATTTTATTCAGCTACAGGAACTCCGGGTGGTGGATGGTCTTGTGGCTGTGGGCGGGGTTCCCCTGGCTTTAGCTTCAGTTAGGACTCAGGTTGAGGAATGTAGGCTTCTTGAGCTTTGGTCATCTTCAAATCAGAGCCCATGGCTCTCTCACCACTGACTTGAGCCCACTGCCATGAAGATTTGCAAATGACCAGTGGGCCTCCGATTCCATTGCATGAGCCCTTCCTAAGTAACTGGTGAGAAGGAGGAACAGGAGGAGGAGGAGGAGGAACAGGAGGAGCAGGGTTTCATTTGGAAACACAGGAAAATGCCTAAGATACATGAAGAGTAACGAAAGCACAGTCATGATTCTGTAAATTAGCCTTCACAGAGCTCCTTCATATTCAGTGTTACTGGATATCACTGCTTCAGCCCTGAAGCTATTCTTCTATAAACCTATAAAAGGAAAGCATTTTGAATAGTTACACATTAACAATTTTTAAAATTCCTTCTGGAGTAACGTTTGGCCACGATTAGCTTTTCCTGAATTAGGAGGCATTATGCCATACGCAAGCCCGCAGGAAAGTGGACGCTCTTAGCCAGGGGTGTTCTTCACCTTTCTTCTTATACCTCTTACATTTGGTAACCCTAAGCAAGCAAGCTACATAAGCTCCCTGAGCTTCAGTGTCCTCTGTTAGGTGAGAATGACAATACTTCACCTCCCTGTTGTGACGATTTCATGACTTAGAACTAAATCACTTAGCCCTATGCCTGGACCACAGTAAGCACTCAGTTAATATGGATTTCTTTCCTTGTTTCCTGACAAAATCTGTTCGGTTTTTAAACCAGTAAAGCATTGTCTCTAGTTGTTTTTTTTTTTTTTTTTTTAAATCCCCATCCAATATTTATTCATTCAACGTTTGTTGATCACTTGTGCGTGCCAGGCATTGTTCTAGGTTCCAAGATACCTCGATGAATCGCACGGACAAGGCCCGTGACTTTGCTGAGTGCCTCGGTGTTAGCGCAGACTTGGGGGTACATTATTCTCCAGCTTTGTTGGAATTAGCCTTTCTACAGCGTGTGTTCCCACCTGGGGGAATCTCATTTCAATTCCTTCATCTTCTTTTACTTCGATTTCTGGTGCTGTACTCCAATACTGATAGCTCGTGGCGATATATGATTTGGAGAAAATCAGTTAGAAAAACAGATAAAATGCTTAAAGATGCCTAAAGGGTGGTAAAAGTACTCCCATGGTGTTTGAAAATTACCAAGACTCAAACAAGACTAAGACACACTCATGTTCAACTAAGTGAAGCATTCCTCACCATCAGGAGCTGTTCAGTTTGGAGGGCAAGAGACCTGTTGGTGTTTGGATCAAATTGCCGTATTAACAAACTTGCTTTCCTGCATCTAGGTAGATGCTCAGCAAATTCTAGCAAATTCTATCATTTCTTATTTGTCTTCCCCTATGGCACCATAAGCTGCTTGAAGCCTGAGCCATCATCTTATTCATCTTTTTATTATTCTGAACACAGAGTCTACCACAGTGTAGGTGCTCAGTAAATGTTTGTTAAATGGACAAAGGAATGAACAAAGGAACAAACTGAGTGGAGGGATTTTTGGAAGCTCATTCTAGCACACAAGCTCTGCCAGAGCAGGGAATGGGAGGCTAGGCTGGGGGTGGAAGGTCACCGTGCCTGCAGTCAGCGAGTGGTGGCTCTCAGAAGACCCAGGACCCAGCGTCAGTGTCCCTGCTTTTGTGGTGGCACAGGGTCACGTCTGTGCGAGGCTACTTCCCCTCCTACACACATAATTGGAGGCCTTCTCTGATCAGCCTGCTTTGGAAAACTGCTTGCACCTGGCCTGGAAGAACACAATTAAAAGACGCCGTAAAAATTGACAGATCACAGTGCGGAGGGCTGAAAATACATTACAATTCCGATCGAACTATAAATAAAGCCCCTAAATTAAATAAATCTCGCACAATTATGGATTAAAACATGTTTAGTGTTAATGGCCTTGCACATGGACCCTGACTCCCGAAATTGTTGCTGAGGCTGCATGGCCAGGGGATTGCATCATAATTAACACCAAGCCATCCCAGAGGGGGCGGCCCGAGGTTCAACTGTGGGCCTTCAGAAGGACAGGAGTGGACCAATGAGGCCCCTGCCTCTGGGTGAGCTTCCAAATGCCTACCCAGCCCCTTTGTGGTGCCACTGACTCTTCCTTGGAAGAATATGACTTAGAGATGGCTGTCACTCTTAGGACCTGACCCTGGACACAAAGGCTTATGCTAGGCTGAGTGTTCCGGCTCCCCTGGGTGCTCATACAGATGTCTACATGTATCAAGTAAATGACCCCACACCAAAAAGGGATTGTGGAAGACATACTTGGATAATTCAGTCATTTGCTCACTCCTACTCTGTTCCTTTGAAGTCCATACATGGTATATAAATGGTCAGCAATCATATTTTGCAGTAAAATACAGAATGTTTTCTATAGTAACTCTTAAACTCCAATTGCTGAAACCAAGGAGGTTGGTAAAATCATGAAGGACAATGAAAGGTATCAGAGTTTTAGCTATATCAAACCAAGTAAGAGCACCTAAAATTTAGGAATCTTACAAGAGATAGGTGAGGAGTCCACGGCTTTCATTCAAGATTAATTTGTACCTGTCACCAAGACCCAACAGATGGAAAGAGGCTCCAGGACCCCCACTGTACTCCCTGGAGCAGGGTAGGGTGGTGGTGAAGAGCGAGGGCTCTGGATCAGGCTGCTGGGGCTCTACTTCCAGCTCTGTGGCTTCCTAAGCACACACTGTTCTCGGCGTTTCCCCGCCTCCATATCAGGGATGATAATGGCAACTCCTCCTCAGCAGTGAGGGTCTGGCCTGAGCTAAGCCTGCATGTGTGTTGGTGTCATCACAATTGCTGCTGTGACTGTGTAGGAAGTGAGCCTGCCTTGGCTCCCACACCCTAGCTGTGGGGGCCCTTACCTGGTCCACCCTAGACGTGGCAGGAGAGGAGCTGCCAGGGGTTCCTGGTGTGTTGTAGGAAGGTGAAGAGCGTGGTTTGGGGCAGACAGTCTACCAGTTGACCAGCCTGTCTGTCTCCTTGAGCAACTGGGCTATGCCTGGAGAGATGGGCGTTAGATACTTGCTGAGTTAGAGTGAGGATTAAGTGAAAGGAAGACGTACAAAGAACTTAACTCTAGCAACTGGAAAACAAACTGTGCTTGATAAATGCTGAATTCCCTCTCCTCCCTTCCTGGCGTCTTTCTGTTGTCTTAACAAAAGCCAAAAAGACCCTTGAACTTCAGGTTGAAGAAGGTGGCTATGGCAGGGCTGATGAGAGAGGCACACTGAGGAATGGTCTTAAACAGCAGACAGACGCTGCCCTGGGTCCCTCAGCTGCCCTAGCAGGAGGGGAAGCCCTTGGCCTGGAGCAGCTAAAGCCTGTGTCAGGTCCTCTTCCTCAGGCCCGATTGCCTTCTCTGACCATGTTGTTGTCTTTCTCATGCTGACCCTTAAAAAATAGATTTTACCTTGTCACTCCCCTGCTTTAAAAAACATGTCAAGGGGGTCCCATTTAGGATCAAGTGTAAAGCTCCTTACCAGTGTGTATAAAAGGGGTGACTGATCTTTTCTAATCTCTACATTTTGCACTCTGCACTTCGTCATATTGGTCTTCTTTAAGCTCCTGGGCGATTTCATGTTCGTGGTACCCACCTGTGGGTTATGTGTACTCTTCCCTGTGCTTAGGATTTCCTCCCTGCACCCCTTGGTGAGCCTTACCTGGCTGACTTCAGGGCTTGACTTGGCTGTTGTGTCTTAAGTGAAGCCTTCCCTGAGCTCTCCTGCTTGAGTTGGGTGCCCCTCCCATGTGCTTCCTCAGCAGCCTGCTGGGACACCATGAAAGACCCATGTACTGTTGAATTACTCATTGACATGCCTGCCTCTTCCACTAGATGACAAGCATCAAGAAGGCAGGAAGCCCATTTCCTTTATTCACTGCTGTTTGCTTGATGTAGCACAGCGCCTGACTCAGAGCAGCACACAGGAAATATTGGCTGAACGAAAAAAAAAAAAAAAGAATGAAATTGCTCATTCTCATGTTCCCTGCTTGTCTACCCTTGTTGCTTTTTGGCATCACCGTGGCTGTGATGATGCAGGAAGCTCATGGACAACAGAGTATGCATTTTCCTTAGTGAATCGAGAGCCAGTGCCGAAAGTCCCATGAGGAGAAGAGGTTCCCTGGAATGGGCAGGCACCAGCAAATCCTGGCCTGGAACACTTCCTCTCTTGCCCATCATTTCACATTCAAATCATAGATAGCTAGGTAGCTAGACAGAGATATGGATGTAGATTCAGATATATGTAGAATATAGATCAGAATGTATTTCAAGAAATTGGCTTATACAGTTGTGGGAAGCTAGCTAGATGAATCTGAAACCTGCAGGGCAGAAAGATCAGGCTGGAAATCTCAGGTGCCCACAGGTGGAGTTTCTTCTTCAAGGAAGTCTTAGTTCTGTTCCTAAACCCTTTCAACTGATTGAATCAAGCCCACTCATATAATCTAGGATAATCTTCCTTACTTATGCTGATTATAGATTTTAATCACATTGACAAAATACCTTCACAGCAACACTTGAACTAGTGTTTTATCGAATAACCTGGGGATGATAGTCTAGCCAAACCTAAATGTAACACTCACCTGGGGTCATAAGAGCTAGAGCTGCACTAAGATCCTCCTGCCTCCTGCTTTTTGCCATGTGTATCTTTCTGGGCCGTGTGTATTCTTCCTCTGCATGCCTTCTAGCTGGGTGAGGCAGGAAGACTAACACATGCTGCTTTGATGGCTTCTCCAAAGGTCTTGTCAGGACATGACCACAGGACATTTCCAGATAGCATAATCTCCAGAAGAACGGCTTTTCTCTTTTAGTGGACTGCAAAGAATCTGGAAAATAGTGATTTCATAATATGAGAAACCTTATTCAACACCCCAAAAGAGGAATTCAGGAAGCCATTCCCCGTAGACCATGGAGGCAAGGCTCATTTTCGGCTTGGGGGCATTAGTATGGTCATAGGGTTGTTGGAGCTGTCTTCGATGCTAGGCCGTATTGGTTGCTAAATATTTTGACTATCAACACTGGGCAGAGGTTAGACTCCCCTGGGCCAGTGTGGTTAAGCAGAGTAGCCATTTAAAATATGCTCAACAGCTTAGATAGTCAAAGGGGACATTAGTATTTGAGAGTCTCTAAGACACAATTCATTCTGTCAATTTCAACATGGAAGTGGGGAAATAGTCCCACCCTGGTGCTGCAAAGATTGTTTCATTAGAGGTTAATGCTGCAGAAATCCTTCTGGAAGAATGCCTGGCAGGAGTTTCCTCATAATTGATCAGTGTTACAGAGAGACTGTAAAAGTCCATGGAGATTGTTACTTGCAGAAGTGGGAACTAGAATCAGAAACATGTTAGAAAATTCTGCCCACTAAAGCTGAGAGAAAACTCAGATTACTAAACTCCTCATGACAAGAATCGAACAGCGTCTTCTGAGTATGTTCTGTGCTGGGCACTGTCCTGGCTGCTGGGAACACAACACTGACTTACCGATTTTTTGCATCTATACCTCTACCCTCTACTCCCAACAGGAAAATAAGTTTCATGGGGACAGAGGTTGTTAGGTCTGTCTTGTTCACAGCTAATAGAACACTGATTTTTCTTTTGTGAATGGATACAGATCTATATAGAAAGTAGATTAAAATTTATTTTGATTTTTCTTTCTAGGATGGAAAAAAACCAGACTTCATCAGATTCATCTCTCGAACCGATCCCCAAGTGATGAATCATGATGGCCTAAGTCAAGGCTGGCAATTACTTTGTTAAAGGTCCAGATAGTAAATATTTTAGGCTTTATGGCCGTATAGGATTTGTCACCACTACTTATCACCACTAGTGCAAAGGCAGCCGTAGGCAATATATTAATGCATGAGCATAACAATGTTTTAAAAACCCCAATACTTTATTTCAAAAAAAAGTGGTGGGCTGGATTTTGCCCAAGGGCCATAGTTTGCTGACCCCTGATTCTAAGTTGAACATTTTGGTGTCTGGACCTCTTTGCACTCTTCAATTTTATTGAAGACACCAAATAATTTTTGTTTATGTGGATTACATCTATCAATGTTTTATACATAAAAATTAAAACTTAGAATTAAAAAAAATATTTCTCTTAAAAAATAGCAGTAACAAACTCATTCTATGCCAGCATAATAACATTGTTTTATGGGAAACAAACATGTTTTCTAACACAAAATACTAATGAGATATTGTTTTACATATTTACAAATCTCTTTATGTCTGGATTGGTAGAAGACAGCAGGATTCTCATATCTGCTTTTGTGTTCAGACTTGTGTGATGCTTTAGTTGAAAATTCAATCTCATACAGAGACATAACTGGAAAAGGCAGGACCTCACAGAATCCCTGGATTGTCTTGAAGACAATCCATGGAATGTCTTGAAGTCACCCATTTGCAATTGCTACAAAAAATAAAATACGAACAGATTTAACCAAATAACTGAAAGATCTCTACAAGGAAAACTATCAAACATTGATGAAAGAAGTTGAATAGGATACAAACAAATGAAAAGACATCCCGTGCTCATAGATCAGAAGAATTAATATTGTTAAAATGACAATGCTACCCAAAGTGATCTACAGATTGAATGCAATTCCTGTCAGAATACAAATGACGTTCTTCACAGAAATAGAAAAAAAGTCCTAAAATTTGCAGAGAATCACAAGACCCCAAATAGCCAAAGCAGCACTGAGCAAAAAGGACAAAACTGGAGGTATTAAACAACCAGAGCTTAAAAGGTACTACAAAGCTGTAGTAACCAAAACGGCACAGTACTGGCATAAAAAGAGACACGTAGACCAATGGAACAGAAAAGAGAACTCGTAAATTAATCCACATTATCTACAGCCAGTTGATTTTTGACAAAGGTGCCAAGAACACTCACTGGGGAAAGGACAGTCTTTTCAATAAATGATTCTGGGAAAACTGAATATCCACATGCAAAAAATATAAAACTAGATGCCTATCCTTCATCCTATATAAAAATCAATTCAAAATGGATCAAAGACCTAAAGTAATACCCAGAACCATAACACTGCTAGTAAAAAATATAGGGGACATGCTTCAGGACTTTGGGAAAAGATTTTATAAATAAGTCCTCAAAGGAATAGGCAACAAGAGCAAAAATATACAAATGAGATTATATTAAGCAAAAGCACTTCTGCACAGAAAAGGAAATAATCAGCAAAATGAAAAGACAACCTATTAAATGGGAGGAAAAAAAGTTCAAATTACTCATGTGGCAGGGGATTAATATTCAGAATATATAGGAACTCAAACATCTCAACAGGAAAAAGATAGTCCTATTAAAAAGTGATCAAATGATCTGAAAAGTCATTTCTCAAAAGACGTATAAAGCCAATAAACATGAAAAAAGCCAATAAACATGAAAAACTGTTCGGCATAAGTAAACATCAGGGAAATGCCAATCAAAACTACAATGAGGTGTCTCACCCCAGTTAGGATGGCTATTATCAAAAAGACACAATATAACAAATGTTGGTAAAGATGCAGAGAAAAAGGAAACTAATACAACCATTATGGAGAACAGTATGGAGGTTCCTAAAAAAAACTTCAGTTAGACCTACCATCTGATCTGGCAATCCCACTAATGGGCATTTATCCAAAGGAAAGGAAATAATTATATCAAAGAAACATCTGTACCTTCATATTTATTGCAACACTATTCACAATACCTAAGATATGGAATCCACCTGGGTGTCCAATAACAGATAAATGGATAAAGAAA